AGGAATGCCATCTGCGTTGGCCCCACCCAGCCGCAAGTCAAGGACACCGCCTGCCAGACCAACGGGTCCCGGACAATGGGCACACAGACTGTCCAGACCATCAGTGTGGGCCTGCAGACTGAGGGCCTGCGTGGTGGTATCACTAGCAGCCCCCATAGGTGTCTCACACCAAAGGCGGGGGGCGGCGCCACGCCCGTGTCCTCTCCCTCTCGCAGCCTCAGGAGCAGGCAGGAGGCCCCCGCCATTGAGAAGGTACAGGCCAAGTTTGAACGCACATGCTGCTCCCCCAAGTACGGTTCTCCCAAGCTGCAGAGGAAGCCCCTCCCCAAAGCTGACCAGCCAAATAACAGGACCTCACCAGGGATGGCCCAGAAAGGGTACAGCGAGTCAGCCTGGGCCCGCTCCACCACCACGAGGGAGAGCCCGGTGCATACCACCATCAATGATGGCCTCTCCAGCCTCTTCAACATCATCGACCACAGTCCCGTGGTACAGGACCCCTTCCAGAAGGGAGTTCGGGCTGGGAGCCGGTCTCGCTCAGCAGAACCCCGACCAGATCTGGGCCCAGGCCAAGAAACAGGCACCAGTTCCCGAGGAAGGTCGCCTAGCCCCATCGGGGTGGGCTCAGAGACCTGTAGGGAAGACGGGGGGGAGGGCACGCCAGTGAGGCAGGACTTATCTGCTCCCCCTGGCTACACACTCGCCGAGAACGTGGCCCGGATCCTCAACAAGAAGCTGTTGGAGCATGCCTTAAAGGAGGAGCGCAGGCAGGCCGCCCACGGCCCCCCAAATCTTAACAGTGACAGCCACTCGGGAGAAACGGTCACAGCCGAACCAGGGTCCATCGAGGTAATGAACGCTGGGTGTTCCACACCCCCACCTCCCACCAGCTTTCCTACTGAGCTGGGCAGGCTGGGGCCTGGGTTGGTACAAGGTCGTTTTTTGAAACTGTTCATAAGTGTTGTGAGCTGGGGAGATGCTGGGTTTATAGGAGAATGAAATAAGCAGGAACACACACCCTGGGTGACTTCTTAGAAAAAATTTTGGGTTTTTCCTCCTCAGAAAATCATTAAGGACATGGTCTGATTCCGATTCTGTCCTCTGGCCTGAGTGACTGGTCCTTATCTGCTTATCCGGGCTTTTCATGTGGGGTCTTAGAATTTGTCCTCCTCCTGTGTGAGTTCATGCCTGTGTGGAAATCCTAGGAGAGTAGGTCAGACCTCATCTCCTCCAGATCGCCACACACAGCAGCCTGAGAGGGGAGTGTGAGAGGCAGGGACTCACGGACTCGAGCACTTTTCTCATCAGGAGCTGCAAGACGAATGTCGGATTCCTTCAGTACAGACAGGCACACAGACAGCTCACAGGTCACGTCCCCTCTTTGTGTCTGAGACTCTCCCTAGCAGTAAAACCACATGAAACAGGGACCAGCAGATGGCATAATGGTTATGTCGCTGAACTGCCCCATAGTCTACCATGGGTTGAGTACTAGACCTGGTGGCTTAAAAAACCCATGCTAGGTGCATGTGCATGTGTGCCCAAAATCCCGAGAGGAGAATGGAGAAGGGACCGCAACATGGCCGCCCCCCCAGGAGGGTGATCTCTCACTTCTGTCTTTTGTCTCTGTCTCTCCAGTGAGTACACATGGCCCAGAGCAAAAATCTCTCTTAAAAAACAAAAATATGTGAAACTAATGATAAAAACCAAAATCCTGCCTTAATAACAGTGGGTAGTCTCCCCCGTGACATTACTCACACATCAGTCAGCCTTGATTTCAGTTCTGATCTACATCCACGCATGGTAACAACAAGATGAACCAAAGCCCAGTGATCATGCTGGCGGTGACAACGGTGGGGATACCAGCTTCTCAGGCCACGCAGCTTTGAAAGGACATGTCTGTCTGGCAAGTGATCCTACACATGACATGTGCCAGAAAGCCTGATTCTCCGGGGGCCTGGCTGAGCAAGTTCCACACCAGGAACAGCAGACCTCATCAGCATTCTCCAGGCTGGGCCACTCCTGTAGATAGTGAGGTCAGAGGAGGAGGACAGCCATCTGCTCCTGGGCTGACCGTTGCTTTCTCACCTCAGCCTTGGCAGCCCTGGCTTTATGGTGAGGAGAAACAGAAAGCTGTATTTCCTGTGTCACTCAGTTCACATCCCCACAGGAAGAGAAATGGTTAGGTTCCCAGGCTGACCCACCAAGGAGTATTTAAATTAAAATACAGAGTTTAAATCCGAAACAGGTCAAACCATGTGGAATTGCCAGCACCCGGCAGGACTGGTGATTCTGTATGTTCAACCTAATACAGATACTGACAGTATTTAGCCTACATGTTTCACGGTCACAGTCTTTGTGCTAAGGCTATTTTCATGTTTTGGGATGGACAAACACTGCTGGTTGAGTGTCTCGGGGGACAAATGATGTCTTCTGAGAGCTTCTGTGACTCCTCAGAGACCCTCAGGTAAGTACTCTGTGCTATGGGGGAATCTACTTGTATGTCAATGCCCTGCATTTCTAGGGCTCTGGAGAAATCAGTTGAACTTAAGGCACTGAGGCCAGCCAGTGGCCTGGCGTTTAAGGTGGCTGGATCCCCCATGGCCAACCATGTGATTTGAGTCCTGGACACAGGAGCTTGAAAAACGTGTTGTGTATGTGTGTGTGTGCCCAAAATCCCAAAGGGAGAGAACAGGAAAAGGGATTGGAGCATGACCGTGCCCCATGACGTGCTTTCTTGCTTTTGCTTTTCCTCTCTCGCTCTCTGTCTCTGCTCTCTCTGAAAAGCGCATGTGCCCTCAGGCAAAGTTAAAAAAAAGAAAAAAGAAAGAAAGAAAAGAAGTTAGGGTTTTGTCCCAAAGCAGTAACTGGCTGTGTCTGTAGTATCGGTTTATATTAGAGACTAGACAGAAATTAAGTTTTAGGAACCAAAACATGTTTTGACTTAACTAATAATGAGTGCCGGTAGTGATCTGTGATAATATAAAGAAAGTGTTTTAATCACAGAAGTGGAGCACTTTGGCTTGAAAACGGTTTTATCAGTACTAAGCAGTAACCTCCCCTACTATCACCACCACCCCTTGTCTTCTGCGAAGTGTGTATTTAGATTTCCTTCTCACTTGGTGATTTTGTTGCCTAAAGAAATGTCTTGAAGGGAACACAGAAAATTTCAGGAACTCCAAATCTACAGGGAGCACCCAGTGGCAGAGTTTAAATGCCGTGGCTTCTTTTTTCCTAGTATGTTGGAATTTTGCTTGTTCTAGATGCCAACAGAATTACCTTATGTTTGAATTGACATTGAACTGACATGGCATTGGAGACCCCATCCCATCTCTCCAGAATTATGTAGGCGTTCTAGGCTTTCATTTCAAATTCACCAGAACGATTTCTGATTTTTCAGCCCACTCAGCACCATATTGTGGAATCTTTCTCTGAATGTTTACGCAGGTATCTGCACACAAGAGTGACTTGGGCAACAGGGAACTATTTCTCTTCACTCTCACCCCACAGCAACTGAAGCCTCTTATTGAAGCCATGCCACCAACTCAGCAGGGTGGAGAGAGGCTATGAGGAGGAATTCTGGTGTGAAGGGAAGACTTTAAAATACAGAGTTTAAATCCGAAACAGGTCAAACCATGTGGAATTGCCAGCACCCGGCAGGACTGGTGATTCTGTATGTTCAACCTAATACAGATACTGACAGTATTTAGCCTACATGTTTCACGGTCACAGTCTTTGTGCTAAGGCTATTTTCATGTTTTGGGATGGACAAACACTGCTGGTTGAGTGTCTCGGGGGACAAATGATGTCTTCTGAGAGCTTCTGTGACTCCTCAGAGACCCTCAGGTAAGTACTCTGTGCTATGGGGGAATCTACTTGTATGTCAATGCCCTGCATTTCTAGGGCTCTGGAGAAATCAGTTGAACTTAAGGCACTGAGGCCAGCCAGTGGCCTGGCGTTTAAGGTGGCTGGATCCCCCATGGCCAACCATGTGATTTGAGTCCTGGACACAGGAGCTTGAAAAACGTGTTGTGTATGTGTGTGTGTGCCCAAAATCCCAAAGGGAGAGAACAGGAAAAGGGATTGGAGCATGACCGTGCCCCATGACGTGCTTTCTTGCTTTTGCTTTTCCTCTCTCGCTCTCTGTCTCTGCTCTCTCTGAAAAGCGCATGTGCCCTCAGGCAAAGTTAAAAAAAAGAAAAAAGAAAGAAAGAAAAGAAGTTAGGGTTTTGTCCCAAAGCAGTAACTGGCTGTGTCTGTAGTATCGGTTTATATTAGAGACTAGACAGAAATTAAGTTTTAGGAACCAAAACATGTTTTGACTTAACTAATAATGAGTGCCGGTAGTGATCTGTGATAATATAAAGAAAGTGTTTTAATCACAGAAGTGGAGCACTTTGGCTTGAAAACGGTTTTATCAGTACTAAGCAGTAACCTCCCCTACTATCACCACCACCCCTTGTCTTCTGCGAAGTGTGTATTTAGATTTCCTTCTCACTTGGTGATTTTGTTGCCTAAAGAAATGTCTTGAAGGGAACACAGAAAATTTCAGGAACTCCAAATCTACAGGGAGCACCCAGTGGCAGAGTTTAAATGCCGTGGCTTCTTTTTTCCTAGTATGTTGGAATTTTGCTTGTTCTAGATGCCAACAGAATTACCTTATGTTTGAATTGACATTGAACTGACATGGCATTGGAGACCCCATCCCATCTCTCCAGAATTATGTAGGCGTTCTAGGCTTTCATTTCAAATTCACCAGAACGATTTCTGATTTTTCAGCCCACTCAGCACCATATTGTGGAATCTTTCTCTGAATGTTTACGCAGGTATCTGCACACAAGAGTGACTTGGGCAACAGGGAACTATTTCTCTTCACTCTCACCCCACAGCAACTGAAGCCTCTTATTGAAGCCATGCCACCAACTCAGCAGGGTGGAGAGAGGCTATGAGGAGGAATTCTGGTGTGAAGGGAAGACTAATTGGAGAAGAGAATGCTGTTCCTCCTCCCATGTCTCAGTGGAATGTCAGGGGACAATTTTAGTATGAGCAGCAATCGTTTGTGGTTGTGACCAAAACAAACTCAGCGATATAATGGCCTCTGTTTCCGATGCAACAGTCTTGCAATTTCTATCTCTCCTTTTGCCAAATGCTATTTGAACTGCTAAATGCTATAGGGAGACTCGGAAAGGGGGCATAAGAGCTGGAGGGGATGTGGCTTTTCTGTGGTGGTGACTGCTCCTTTCTGTGGCTGGCGGCAGAGGCTAGGCCTCTGTGCTGGCTCCAAGGGGCCTCAAGTCTCCCCTGGTGGATGACACAGAACAGAAGCAATGTTCTGCCACTGGGCTTGCTCGTTGACTTTAAATCTTTACTATTCTCCTGTTAAACGCCTTTCCAACCTACTTGCCTTTCTTTTCTTTCTCTATCTATCCTGTCTAGAACCACACTGTCTTACTAACTGCCCCTTGGGGACTCTAGCCCTGCCGGCCTCACGCTGTAAGTTCTTCCATGTTTTCCATTGTCTGGAGAGGTCATGTGTGTCACTCATAGTTGATGTCTGACACTTGTCATCCAAGGGAGACCTGTTCAGTGGAGGCCTCCACACTCACCCTAGTTCTGGTGGGTCAGCTCATCCCTAGGAACAGAACAGCAAGGCTGGCTGCTCCATTCACCCTGCTCAAGAGTTGACCACTCAGTGCGATGGGAGGTGGCTAGGTTTTAGAGAGCCTGCTGATGCTCCCCTCTGCAGTTTGCAGGCAGTGTCCTCTCAGAGAACTGAAGAGACACTGAGGAGGAGTCTTCGAACCCAGCCTTGGTCAGCTCTGCATCCCCAGCCACAGTTTGCTGAATGAATAAACAGGAAGCTGTCCCTGCTCCAGATATTCTGAGAACTCTCTGTATTGCCTTCAGAGCCTGAATCAAGGCACATGAGAAAATGGATACTTGGCTTTTGATGAAGGATGTAGACACTCACCCATCTCATCCACTGACTTTAACTCCAAGTTAGGGTATTCAAAAGTAGAGTTGGCTGTCAGAGACAAAAGATATGTCCTTGTGAAACAAATGACAAAGGACATAGGGGAAGGCCGTGCCCAAGACAGGAGCCACAGAGGCAGCACCTGGGACAGACTCCCACATAGCCCACCATGGTGGCTTTGCAGGAAGGGTCAGCATCACTAGCCTGTACAATTGGACTTCAGGAAGTTCGTGGAAAACTAGAGTTAAAAACATTTATTTGGGGGGAAAAAATTACTGAAATTCATACTTTTTTTTTCATTTTTCATGAACTTTCTGAAGATCTCTCTTATATACTAGTGTATTACTAAGAAAAGGTCATTGAACTCATGATCACACAATACTTCTTCCTTGGCAGGCAGGTGCTGGCAGAGAGGTGGTATAACATGGTCTCATGGAAAGCCCACCTTGTTCAGAACAGCGAGGTGGACACAGGACTGTTCTGAACAAGGGGGGCCTGTTCTGTTCTACCCACAGTAGAGTGGTGTCAGATAAACCAGTAGCAGCAGTTTTATTAGCACACGAAACACACACAACACAACACATACTCCTCTTACAATTATGGTTGTAGGGACACAAAAACAGTAGCAGATCTCCACAATCCTGTATCCTCCCCACCAGCACTGTGGGTTCAGGTGAGGTGAAGTGAGGATGAAGCAGCACATGAGTTATTTTGCGCTAAAGGTGGCTTAACTAGAGGTATTTCTGGTTGCCATGGTATCCATTAACTTAAGTGCCTTATTCAAGGATGCTTCTCTCCCTGTCACGTAGAGTGCCAGCTACTAAAGAGGAAGGAAAGTGTCTCGAAAGTTACGTTCCTTTTCTGCTGACCCTCCAGGGAGGCAGGGTAACCACATCATCCCATCACTTTTCCAGGAGCCTGTGGGTCCCACTGCCCTGGACCATGCAGCCTCCTTCACATTCCATCATCTTCCCTGGTGACACTGCCCATCCCACACAGCTGTCTGTCTCCCACTGTTACTCTCTGTATCTCTGGCTCATATCTCCTCATTCTGGTCTTCTCAGTTGCTTGTCACATCTCTAAATCCTTCAACTTCTGTGCTGACTTTGAGGGTCCTTGTTCAATGCCATTCTTCCTGTGCCTTCCATTGCATTGGTTCGCCATCTTGGCTTTTTGTGTTTGGGTGTCATTTGAGCAGATGGGTTCCATGTCGTGTGACTCCATTTCCTCACGCCACAGCCTTTCACATTTTTATGCATCAGCAAATTTCAAGTTTGGACATCTTTGTCTCCCAACATGCAGACCAAGGCCAAGTAGCTCAACATTCTTTAAAAACAACAAAAGAACTTTAAGAATAAGGATTATAGGGGGTTTGCACCATGGTTGGAGATGTCTTGCATTACCACTTCTCAGATCGTTAGGATGCCTGTAACACAAAATCACAAGTGCACTCTGATTCCACTCTTCAGAAATGTTGCTACGATGAAGAGTCATTAAAGAAAACTAGACGTAAATTAAAATTTCTGCCTGCAGCATTTTCCCCATGTTGTGGGAGTTTGTTTAACCTACTGCCAGTCACTGTGGAGTAAACAGCAGAGTTCGTTTTCACATGAGTCTCATTGCTGATACAGCCCAGGAATTCACCAGTCTCTCGATGGGCCCCAATAGATGACGGCCCTTTACGACCAGTTAATTGTGATCACTATAGCTCAACAGATTATTCCAGAGGGTCCAAGGAGGGGTCACCCAGGTGGGAACACATCAAAGTGCCATTGGAGACCAGAGTCACAGTCACCCTCCCCAACATTCTGCATGTCCAAGCCTAATTCTGAAGGAGTAGACCCATCTCAAGAGTATGGCCACATTTTGATCTTAATTTGGTATCTTCTCATTCATCTTGAATTTTGTACTTAAATCATTTTTAAGTTATTCTCCATGAGCAAGATACTCATTCATATTCCTAAGTTGCTCATTTTGCTTGAGTCTGTTGAGAATCAGTTTGGGGGAAATTATCCCCCAGTGACACTGCAGTCTGAGTAATGCTATCTTCCCTTTCTTGGCTCTCAAGGAACTACCTTGTTCTGCACTAGCTCCGCCCCTAGAGCCCTGCTTCTCCAGGCCCGAGAGACCAGCAAACCGTCGCCCTCCGTCCCGTTGGGCCCCACATTCCCCCACTGCCTCACAGTCAGCCGGAGACCTGGCCAGCTTGGAGGAGCATGGTGACGAGGAGCCACCAGAGGAGAAGCCACACCCGTGATGCAAGCTTGCATGGATTATCACAGAATAATTCACTGTAACCTGCATAGCCGCACCATCGTCATGAACCAAACTCTGCCCAAACAGAGAGATCTAGTTTTCTCAAGGTCAAAGAATGTTTTTAAAAAACACACAGAGCTGCTGAATGTTCAACCTGTGAAACCGAGATGTTTCTAGAATGAAACAGTAAATGTGCCTGTAATAACTTAATTTTTTTCATAGCTCAGAAAACTATTTTTGTCTCCATCTTTTTTACACACAGTATATTAAACAAAAAAAGGTAAATAAGATATAAATAGATTTAAAAAAAATAAAAGTTTTAAAGATGTACATTTTAAGAGATTCTAAACCCCCTCGCTCTCAATACTGACTGCCTCTCTGTTAAATTTGCACTGTCGCATTTGGTTTGGTTTATTTCCATGTTGAATTCGAGTGTTCTAAGTTCATTTCATTTGGTCAGTGTTACTATTTTTCGAGAATTTTAAAAAATGCTTTATGTCTGATTTGGTGAACTTTTTGTAGCGTACAAGCCATGAAGCCAGTAGATAAAACAGATGTTCTATAAACTGGAGGGGAGACAGGTCACAGAGTCCTTTGACGGGCTTAGAAAACTTGCTGTATAATCCACATATTATTCTCCTCGACTTGCACGTCTTCGGGTGCATGTACATACTGCCCACGTCCTTGCCGTCACCCAACTGTGAGTCAGTCTGTCCCACTGTAACGCGTCGTGAACTTCCTTGTACTGTACTTTTACTGTTGTCCTCCTGCATTGACGATACAACGGCAACGTTTTTAAATTATTGTGAAAAGTTTAACTGGCAATGTACAGAGTTTACTCCAGATTTTCTTGCTTAAGGAAAAGTGCTACACAAAGTCACGAGGAAACCAAATGGAATCACATGACGGTGCCTCAGTCTGTATGAGACCACGATGAAGTAGAAATAAAGCCTGTTGCCATGGCAGCGTGCGTTGGGATCTCACGTTTCCCATGCCCTCCCTCCTCCCCTAAGGACTCAAACGGAAAGTGTCCCATAGCTAGGGGAACGAGGGAGGGGGGTCGTGTCAAAGCCAGCAGCAACTGCTAACAGCTCTCACGGGGAGTGCACAGGCCAGCACACGGTCTTCCTGTACTCTGGGGGAGTCCTGGGGTAGGCAGACAGCTTTATTCTCGCTGAAAAAGCCCAAACTGGGATGGGGACAAGAGTGTGAGGCATTGGTTACTCACAAATCCAAGCGTGCCCATCTTCTCTTTCCCACCCTTTATTAAGAAAGAGGAGGGCCAATGATGCCACAAGAGGGCTTTCTATCTGATGCTGAGGTGCAGCCCAACCTGTTAGGGTTTGACGGAGTAAAAGTTTACAGGGAAGGAGGGCTGCCAGAGAACACGGGACTCTTTCAGACCAAAGCTTCTGGTGTGAATATTCCATCAACCTAACGATTATGTATTTACCTCTCGGTAGATGTGCTACTGGAATACATGCCGTTCTCGTACAGCTCAGCGACGTTTAGTAGATGGATGGTGTCGTGCAGTCACGACCGCTCTCTGCTTCCAGCACTTGTCGTCACACAGGAAATCCCACATGCATTCAGCAGTCACTTCGCCAGCCCCGGCACCCATGTCAGACAGGTAAACCGAGTCAAAGCATGCAAAGCCAAAGCACTGCCACAGCTCCATCTTTAAAAGCTTAAATACTGTCAAAAGTGGGAAATGGCGGGTGTTGGTGAGGACGTGGAGAAATTGCAACTCTCGTGTGCTGTTGGTGGAGACGGAAGCTAGCTTGGCAGCTGTGGCAGATGGTGTGGCGGCTCCTTCAAACATGAAGCAGAATTAGCACACACTCCAGGGGTTCCACTCCTGTGTCTATACCCCACGTAGTTAAAATCAGGTACTCAAAACACATTTGTACACCCATGTTCATAGCCGGATTATTCACAAATAGCCCCCAAAAAGAGAAACAACTCACCTGTCCACTGACTGATAAGCAGGTAAATAAAATGTGACACACCATGGGAATGATATGGTTTGTAAAACGAATTCTACACATGCTGCAACTGAGCTGAACCTTTAAGACCATAAATTAAGTAAAGTAAGTCAACAAAAAGACAGTGATTGTCCCATTCCACTTATAGGAAGTGCCTCTGGGAGTCATACATTCATAAAGATGGGAAGTGGTGGGACCAGCAGGTAGCGCAATGGCTATGTCACTGGACTCCCATGTAGTCAACCATGGTTCAAGTCCTGGACTCGGTGGCTTAAACTCACACCGGGCACGTGTGTGTGCGTGCCCAAGATCCTGAGAGGACAATGGAGGAGAAGGGATTGCCATGTGGCCACCCCCCAGGGGATGATTTCTCACTTTCTGTCTCTCTGTCTCTCTCTCTCTCTGCCTCTCTAGTGAGCGCACTACGTGTACAGCAAAAAAAAACCTCTCGAAAAGAAAAAAAAGATGGAAAGTGGAATGGTGGTCACTGGGGCTGCAGAGAGAAAGGAGTGGGGAGTTGGTGTGTGGTAGGTAAGAGTTTCAGTTTGGAATGATGAAAACGCCCTGGAAGTGACCAGTGGTGGTGACTGCACACCATTGTGAATGCACTGAATGTCACCTAGCTGTACACTTAAAGATAGTTAAGATATGGGACCAGCTGGTGGCGTGGTGATTAAGTCACTGGATGCCTATGTGGCCAACTGCGGTTCAAGTCTCCGACCTGGAGGCTTGAAACTCACACCAGGTACGTGTACATACGAGCTCCAAGATCCCAAGAGGAGACTAGAGGAGAGGGATTGTGGTGTGGCACCCAGTGGGTGATTTCTCTGTCTGTATCTCCAGTGAGTGCACACACCCTTTAGCATAAATCTCTAAAAAACTAATGATTAAGGTGGCATATTTTACCACAGTAAAAAATTTTAATACAAAAAATAAATATTTCACTTAACTACTCTAGACATAGCTGTAAGTCTTCAACAAATCACTATGTCTTTCTTGTATGCCTACTCTGTGCATGGCGAATGCTGAGAGTGCATTAGCATTCTCTTGGTAAGAAGAAGTCAGCCCACAATAAGAAGCCCACCCACAGCTGAGTGCCTTGAACCATCCTATCACGGACTCTGCTCCCCTCTGGGTGGCTTTATTCTCAGACCAGGATCCCAAACTAACAACTGTAGTCCCCGGAAGCTCCTGTTATTTGGTCACTCCTAGAGAAAGGGGGTGTCTCACCAAAGCTCCAAAATCCCAGGGCCAGTGATGTCTGGCCCTGAGCCAACCACAGTGACAATTTGGCCTAGCAAAGGAAAATCAGGGTGCTGTTAGAATAGAGGGAAGGGGGTGCCTAGAAGGCAATGATGGCTGTATATCACTGTGGGACTCCCAAATTGCAAGAGCTCTGTCACCAAACCTGTCATTTAGTTGGAAGACATAAAAATCCCCAGGCATGGGACTAGCAGTTAGCGTAATGGCTATGTCGCTGGACTCCCATGTAGTCAACTGCAGTTCGTGTCCCGGACCCAGTGGCTTAAAACTCACGCTGGGCACGTGTGCATGCGTGCCCAAGATCCCGAGAGGAGAATGGAGGAGAAGGGATTGTGGCATGGCCATCCCCCCTGGGGGGTGATTTCTCGCTTTCTGTCTCTGTCTCTCTCTGTCTGGCAAGCGCATGTGCCCTATAGCAAAACCTCTTTAAAAAAAAAAAAAATCCCCAGGCATGGGACCAGCAAATGGTGTAATGGTAACGTCATTGGACTCCCACATAGTTGACGGCGGTTCAAGTCTCAGACCCAGCAGCTTAAAACTCAACTCTGGGTACGCTGGCATGCGTGCCCAAAGTCCCAAGAGGAGAATGGAGGAGAAGGGATTGCAACATGGCCAGCCACCCTGGGGAGTGATTTCTCACATTCTGTCTCTCTGTCTCTCTGGCAAGTGTACAAGCCCTATAGCAAAAATTTCTCTCTCTTAAACACACACACACACACACACACACACACACACACAAACCCAAGGTGCAAAAACACTGACACGCAAACTGATGTGGTAGAAACTGTACAGCAGGGCTTGAGAGGCCTTGGCAATGCACAGCTTTTCTATGTGAAGGAGGGAGAGGTGGGCTGGTAGGAACAGAACCAGAGAGGTGTGGGGAGGTGGAAATAAACTCAGGTACTACCAAGCAGTGACACTGCTGGGCTGGGAGCAGAACCATCAGTTAGCAAAACCACTTCAAGGCCAGTGCCTTAAAAGCTAGTTTGGAACCTCTCCTACCATCCCGTATTCTAATGTATGCTAGAGGCTGCTCAGTGTGGAACCACTCCAACTTTCAAAGGCAAGGCCAGACAGTAGGATGAGATCACTTCTACACTCCTGTCCGCATGAATACCAAGGCAGCTACGTGCATCGTGCATGGCTGCAAGAGAACAGCTGCACAGAGGGAAGGGCCTGCAGGAAGCATCTGATCATGTCTCCACGAACCGCTGCCCTTATGTGCCAGTTGCTTTATGGCCTAAAGAAAGATGTGACGGATTCCTCAACCACTGCTGTGAGCCCTCACCTGATAGGCGTGCCTGCCTAGTGGGAAAAGCCATGACCAGCTGCCCAGGGACATTTCTTACAAATGGGGCAGTGGTAGCCAATTCCACCCTCTTTTCTCCTTACCAGGAGGTAGCGCATTCTATTACAGCTTTGTATATTGTGCATCTATTTTTTTCTATCTGTGTACTTCATGATTCTAATTCTTATTAACACATTTGCCTCACCTTTTTTTTCCCCTATAGAATAACCTGTGACATTTACAAATACCTAATTTTAGTTTTTAATTAATTTATTTGTATTGTAAGCATTTAAGGTATACAATGCAATGTGTAGTGAAATACACAGTGAAATGGTCGCTGGTCAAGCTAGTTAACATCGATCATCCCATATAGTTACTCCCCTTTCCTTGTGACAAGAGCACCTAAAATCTACTCTTGGCAAAAAATCCCAATACGAGACACTATTCATGTGTCCTCATGTTGTACACCTGATCTCTAGACTTTATTAAGCTTCATAGTCGTACATATTTATTTTGTTCAAAAAGCAACTGAGGGAACCAGCAGTTAGCGTAATGGCTATGTCGCTGGACTCCCATGTAGTCGACCGCGGTTCGTGTCCCGGACCCGGTGGCTTAAAACTCACGCCGGGCGCGTGTGCGTGCGTGCCCAAGATCCCGAGAGGAGGATGGAGGAGAAGGGATTGCGGCATGACCATCCCCCCTGGGGGGTGATTTCTCGCTTTCTGTCTCTATGTCTCTCTCTCTCTGTCTGGCGAGCGCACGCGCCCTACAGTGAAAATCTCTCCAAAAAAAAGCAACTGAGAAATATAACTAGTTTTTTTCTGTTTTCTGGGGAGTGATTTCTCTCATTCTGTCTCTCTGTCTCTCTGGCAAGTGTACAAGCCCTATAGCTTGATTTTTCTTAGTTGTGGGGAAATACATAGAATACAAAATGGTTAAAATGGCACAATTCAGTGACATTCAGTAAACTCACAGTGTCGTGCAATCACTACCACTATGTATGTCCAGCACATATTCATCACGTAAAGGAAATCCCATATACATTAAGCAGTCACTCCCGCAGTGCCTGACACCCATGTCAAACAGACAAACTGACTCAAAGCAGGCGAAGCAAAAGGAGTTTATAAGTTCGAAGACTGCCATGGTTTGTAGCCCAAATGATTACACTCAGGTTGCCACAAACACGCCCACCAGGTCTTAAGTCCTCAAGAATACTTTAAAGGCAAAAACCGCAAGTAAGAGGGGAGAAGGAGAAGTGGTGATTATTTCCGTTGTTTTGGGATATTCTTGGCTACCAGGGTCAGTAACAAGGGTGTCGTCAGTCCAAGCTTAGACGGTCTCCAGGCAGATGTGTTCAAAGAAGTAGTCCTTGTGTCAGGTTGCAGGGTCTCTGTGCAGAGTTACAGTTCTGGTAGAGTCCTTTAAAACACAATTATTATCAGACATATTTATACGAAAAAAACACCCTCTTTAGGACCAGCAGGTGGTATGGTGGTTAAGGTGCTGGACTCCTGCATGGAGTCCCTCTCTCTGTCTGTCTCTAGTGAGCAGGTGTACCCTGTAACAAATTAAAAATATGATAAGAATGGAAACAACAGTTGGCACAATGGCTATGTCGCTGGACTTCTATGTAGCCGACCATAGTTCGAGTCCCTGACTTGGTGGCTTAAACTCATGCTGGGTGCATGTGCGTGCGTGCCCAAGATCTCGAGAGGAGAATGGAGGAGAAGGGATTGCAGTGTGGCCATCCCCCCGGGGGGTGATTTCTTGCTTTCTCTCTGTCTGTCTCTGTCTTTCCAGCGAGCACACATGCCCTATAGCGAAAATTTCTCAAAAAATACATATAATAAGAAGTATAAAAATTTTTTTAAAAAAACCATCCTCTTTGTGGTTTTACTTGGTTTGGTCTAGTTAGGGTTTCACATAAGTTGACACACATGACTATTTTTAATTCTGACAGCTTCTACATACACAAACTTATTTTGTGCCATTATGTTTTCACGGTTCATCCATGTTATAGTATGTACCAGTACTTCATTCCTTTTTATACCTGGATTATATTCCACTATGTAGAAATATCACATTTTTATTTATCCATATGCCAGCTATAATATGAGGGGACTTCAAAATACTCATGGATAAATGAAATCAAAGTACAAATTTATTTTGTTATAAAAAATTTTTAAATTCATGCACAGATTTTTCATTTTCCATTAACATTTTGAAGACTACACTGTTTTTTGTTTTGTTTTGTTTTTTGTTTTTTGTTTTTTGCATAAGTCATTTGTAGTCACTAGAGACAGAAAGTGAGAAATCACCCCCCAGGAGGAATGGTCATGCTGCCTCTAAGGATTTGGGGCATGCACATATATGTGCTCAGTGTGGTGTTTTTTTTTTTTTTTAGGGTTTTTTTTCTACGGGGCCGGGGCACCAGACAGAGAGAGACAGAGAGACAGAAAGTGAGAAAGCTCCCTCCTCCCAGGGGGGATGGCCACGCCGCAATCCCTTCTCCTCCATTCTCCTCTCGGGATCTTGGTATGCATGCACACGCGCCCGGCGTGAGTTTTAAGCCACCGGGTCCGGGACGTGAACCACAGTCGACTACGTGGGAGTCCAGTGACATAGCCATTACGCTAACTGCTGGTCCCACTTAGTGTGTTTTTCAAACACCGGGTCCGGGTCTGGAATTGCAGAGTCAGCAAGGTTGAATCCAGTCACCTTAACCACCATGCCACCTCTTGGTCCCTATTTTTCAAACAGAAGACCTTTGGTTAACTTACTTTAAACAGCCTTGAGTATTCCTCTAAAAGTGGCAAGTCACAATGAATAATCAGGACACGCATCAATCCATTTCCATGATAGAGGCACTATGATGTCTTTAATCTTAAATCTTTTCTTTTAGAGAGATTTTTGCTATAGGGTGCATGTGTGCATGCCAGAGAGACAGAGAGAAAGTGAGAAATCACCCCCAAGGGATGGCTACACAGTCCCTTTTTTTCCATTCTCCTCTCAGGATTTTGGGCATGCACATATCTTCAAACTCAAACACATGCCCCAGTTTGAGTTTCAAGCCATTAGGTCTGGGGCCTGAACCATGGTCAGCCATGGTTCAAGGCCTTAACTGGCTTCTAATTTTAAAACAAAAGAAACCTTTGGTAAATTTAACTTATTTTTTTTTTTTTTGAGAGGTTTGTGCCATAGGGCACACACACTTGCCAGAAAGACAGACAGAGACAGAGAAACAGAAAGTGAGAAATCACCTCCCCAGGCAGGATGACCACGCAATCCTTTCTCCTCCATTCTCTTCTTGGAATCTTGGGCACACATGTACACATGCACAGCATGAATTTAAGCCACCGGATCCAGGACTCGAACCACCGTCAACTACATGGGAGTCCAGCGACATAGCCATTACGCCACTGCTGGTCCCAGATACTTTAACTTTAAAGAGCCTTGAGCATTCCCCCACAAAGGTGGCAAATCACAATGAGTAATCAGGACACTCAGTAATCAGTTTACTTGACTGAGGCACTGTGGTGTCTTTTTTTTTTTCTTTTAAGAATTATTTATTTTATTTTATTTATTATATTTCTATTTTGCTACAATCACCAGAGAGAGAGAGAGAGAAAGTTAGAAAGAAAGCTGCCTGGTCTAGGACTCAATCAGGCACGTGGGAATCTAGCACCTTAGCCACCATGCCACGTGCTGGCCCTGGAGTCCTTAATCTTAAATCGTTACTCTTCATTGTTTTAAGAGACCGCCAGTAAATGTTATCCTTGTCATGCTTTTCTCTGACTGGAGTTAGTCCTTTCAGCAGTGATCCAATACAGCAGGAAATTAGTCTCAGTCATAAACAAGCAGGCTGAATTTGAAGACACTGAGTCTTCAATGCACTTTGGGTCACTAGAATCAAGGAGGCAAGAAGATTGAAAAGGTCTGGATTTGAATACAGGTTCAAGGCTTAAAGTAATGCGACCTCAGTCCACCTCTTTAAGACTCGTTTGAAACATATCAACATTAATACCTACTCCGCACGGTTCTTGTAAGAAGTAAGGTCTGTTGCATACCTACTGCGTATGCTAAGAGTTGCTAACATCAGCGAGGACAGAAAAGCCAAGCTCCCTGTCCCTGTGGGGCTTATATTCTGCTGATGAGAAACACGTAGCAAATAAGGCTAAGTGGGATAGAGAGGGACTCAGAGGCTTCCCCGGGGAGACACCATTTGCTCTGAGGCCTGAAGAAGAAAGTACTGTCACCTGGCAGAGGGAATAGCTGGTGCACAGTTGGGGTGGGGACGTGGGCATGAGCTTGGTGTGTTCCAGGAAGCAGAAGAAGGCCACTGTGCCCAAAGTCAGGCGGGCAATGCTCCAGAGGAGCGGGAGGAGAGGCTCTGAGAGGGCTTGGGAGGGAGCTAGGGAGAGGCCTAATGGCCCACTTGGATTTTTATTTTAGGGGGATTAAACACTGGAAGACAACAAGCAAGGGAATTACATAATGTGATTTGAATTTTTTGAAGATTACTGGGTTGTCAGGATTAGAAGTGGGCAAAACTGCATGGCTTCCAGATCAAAGGCTGGGTTGCCAGTCAGGGTAGCCCTGGTGGTGGCTGGGACAGGTGTTCCTCTGCTGCCCGCCAAGAACTGGCCTTAGAAGCAGCTGCTGAGGACTTGGGCCCCACTGCCCAGCTCTAGGAAGGCTGTAGGAACTCCAGAATCTATTCCAATCATTTAAGTAAAGCTCTTATTTTTTCTGCTGCCTCTCAGGCTGGCCTTCCTGCCAATGGCCTCCAGCCAAGAAGAACCTACGCCCCTGAAGCCCCATTCCTTTCAGGGCACAAGATTACATAGCAAAGTTCTCAGGCCTTTTTTTACTTTGTTGTTTTCAAGGTTCATTCTTCTGCCAAAAGGAAGTTGGCACTTCTGAGCTATTATTTGTCATTTGTACTTTAGTAAATGTGAGTTTCTGCTCTCTTATTTATTTATTTATTTTTTAAATAAAGGGACAACTTAGACTCTCAGGTGGGGTTGGTGTGGGGCGCTGGGGAGACAGTTCGCTGCACTGCACAGCACAGTCTGAGAGACTGGAACTGGAACACGAGAGTGCTGACTGTTCAGTTTTCCTAGGCCCGGTCCTGTCTGTTCAAAGGAAGGGCCCAATTCTATTAGATTGAATCTACCCCATTTCAAAGACAGAAGCTTCTGTAACTTCCCAGAGAGCTAATAAACTTTAGCAGGGCTCTAGGAATCCAAATAAAACATCAAAATTCCCCTGGTGGGCCAGTAGGTAGCATGGGTCCCACATGGCCAGCTAAGTGGTTTGAGTCCTGGACCCAGAGGTTTGAGAATCATGCAGGGCACATGTACGTGAATGCCAAAAATCCCAAGAGGAGGCTGAAGAAGAAGGAATTACCTGTGGCCACCACCGCCACCCCCACCCCCACCGGCGATGGTGATTTCCCACTTTCACTTTCCCTATCTCTCTTCCTTTCTCTCTCTAGCATGTGCACACACCTGGTAGAAAAAAAAAAATTCCATGGTAATCATGGGAAGAATTCATCACTCATCAACGGCTCCAGATTTATAGGCCAACCCCAGCCCACATCGGTCCCCTTTAAATGGGTTTAAATAAATTAAAGCACTTAGGATACAATGACAAGATTGGTGCATCTACGGAGAGGTACTGGGTCCAGCTCTATGGCAAGGAAAAGCAAAGGTGGGAAAGAGGCTTATCCATCGGCCACTCAGGACCCTGCCATCCAGCCTAGCAATGGGTGCCCTAGTAGAAGACCAGCTTGCTCCTTCCCAGGCGCACCATCCCTACAACACTTGGTAGGCAGAATCGCCTCTCAGCCTGTTCTCCTCTCCCCATCAATGTCTGCTACCTGCCTGCCAGTGCATCCTGGTGACACAGCAGCCATGCCTGTAGTGGCTTATGGCGGGCTTGTGCCTCCTTACTGGGTCAGTCTCTGGACAGGTGCCAGAGCACTCATCATAGTGCTTATAAGAATGAGGAACATGTGAGTGTTGCATTGGTCATTAGAGCTGTTCATGTATATTCTTACTCTTACACAGTAAAATCACACTGCTACGCTGCCTAACCCCCTTGAAGTCAGTGCAGCTCTTTGGCCAGTGAGCAATAGCCATATGTGTGACTTTCTGCTGAAAGCTGTAAGAGCCAATGGCATTTACTAGGTTCCTTTTTCCACCCTGAAAGTTGGAGGAGCATTGTGTCAGCCCGAGTCCCTGAGTGACTAGGGTATATTGTCCTACTTTAAATATGTAGCACAAGGGAGCCAGACCATGGCACAGCCATAAAACATGATACTTTGACAGGCTGACTTATATGAAGAGGTTTTGCGTTCATGCCCAAAGACCTCCCTGAATACACTAGGCATGGAAATGCCTGTGATCCAGAACTAGCTATGGTTGGGGGAAATGAGGGTATCAAGACCTTGTTGGAAGTGCTGTCCCTTTTAAATCTCTGTCTACCTCTGTCTTCTGTTCATGGAAGAAATAAATATTTTTAAAAATGTTTTGTAAACCAGAAAGATACTTTCATACCTCCCAATGGGGTGTGGTCACACTGCAATCCTTTTTTTCTCCATTTCTCTATCCCAATTAGGATTCTAGGTATGCACACATGCCCAGCATGTTTTTCAAGCCTCCAGATCTGGGATTCAAACTGCGGTCATCATGTGGGATCCAGCACACAATGCACAGCACTAACCACTGCACTGTAGGGCCAGCCCAGACTTTTAAAAAAATATAGCATGAGTGAAAAATAAGCCTTTATTGTTAAGTAGCTGATATGTGGGAGTTATTCATTAATGCAGCATAACAATCTATTCTTATTGGAATAACTGTCCAAAAAAGTGGGAACACATACATAAATAATGTCAAAGAAAGAAGTCAAAATGGAAGATTTTTATAGCACATAAAATGCCATTTCATGTCAACGAAGATGTAAGAGGATTTAAAGCGACACAGTGACTATTTGTTCACAATGGAGTGATTCGGCTTCCTAGTAAAAACAATGTCTAGCTCCCTTACGGTAGGTGAGAGTAGCACCGAGCTCATACTGAGCTGAGTGACCACACGTGTGAAGCCCAAGTGTTGTGCTCAGGCTCCAAGGACGCTGCTTCTGCCGCTTTTCCTTCTGCAGCACGTTCATGACACCATCCACGTTGCATTCCTCCCTTGAGCCAGCAGACTTTCTTCTTTCTTTCTTCCTTTTTTCTTTCTTCCTATTTTCTTTCTTCTCTTTCTCTTTCAGAGGTTTATGCCATAGGGTGCATGCACTCATGAAAGAGAGAGAGAGAGAGACAGTGAGTGGGAAAATGAGAAATCACCCCCAGGGAAGATGGCCATGCCACAATCTATTCTCCTCTATTCTCCTCTTAGGATCTTGGACACAAATGCACATGCGCCTGGCATGATTTTCAAGCCACGAGGTTAAGGACTCGAACTGCAGTCAGCTATGTGGGAATCCAGTGACATAGTCACTGCGTCACCTGCTGGCCCTGTGTTTCTTTTACTAATATGGTACCATGTCTGAAGAGAGTATGGCCAGCTAAATCCTCACGTAACTCCTGACACAGAAGGATGTACTCAGCCACTGGTGACACACTGTATTTGCCAAATGGATTATGGAAAAGACGAGCAATTTGCCTAATGCACTTCTACATTTTAAAGGGTAATATTCCAACCTAATATGGGAAAAGGTATATAACCATACGACCAGCTAGGCACCCAGCCCCCTCAGATAGTTCATTTCCTTAAATGTGTTTTCAGGGGCCAGGTGGTGACACAGGAGTGATGTGACTGAGCCCACATGAGAAAGGTCCTGAGTTCATATCTCAGGGCCTCCCTGAGCCAGCTGGGAGCTCATGCAAATGCCTGTGATCCAAGCTGGCTGAAACTGGGCTGGATCATGGCATCAAGACCTTATTGGGATGTCTGTTGTCTCTCTCTCTCATGGGGAAATAAACAAATGTGTGTTCATCACTAAGGAGCCCCAGGCACCCCCTCCCATGCCCCACCCAGTATGATAACCGAAACCTTGACTTTGATAAAGTGAGCATCAGCCTTGCCTGAGGTGGGCAGAGGAGGGGGAGACAGGCATTTAGCTCACCTCCTCTCATCGTCATCTTCTCTTTCCTTTATCTGGACATGAACCATCAACTTCTCACTGCTGTGTAAAGGGACATGACTATTTCCAGAAATGTCCTAGTCATTTTCCAAGGTAAAATGAAGCCCCTAAACTGCTCCGATATAAGAATTTTGGAAGAGTCACAGCCTTGTTAAGGCAGAGTTTCCCCTGCAGAGGTGAAGGTCTGCAGGGCTGAAGGACTGACTGGGTGTTCTGGCAATTTTGATGCCCCCAGGAATGCAGGTGGCATCTCTGCGTGCACAGAGCTACCATTCTCCTGGCCACAGAAGGGACCTTACCATCACTTCCTGCCTTGTTGACCTCTTGAACTTGAATGAGGTCATTCCAGACATACTGGTTAAAGAAAAGATCAAAATAAGGCAGAAGCCTCATCCCCCTGAGAACAGTTTCCTTTAAAGTGAAGACCAAATTGAATTGAATTCTCAGACCCACTAACGATCTTGTCTAAATTTACATTGACCCACTTAGGGGAGGCTCCAGAACCAAGACAATCTTTTTTAAAAGCACAATTTGGGACACTGTACCCAAGGCGCAGGTGCCCCATAAAGCAGCCAGTGAGTGGCCAGTTTCAAGGTTCCATCCAGCGTTAACTCACCGCCTGTGAGAGCGGGGGCAGCAACGTGCGTCCATGGCAGTAACGGCGAAGGCTGCTGACGGCACTTGAGGGCCACACCAGTGCCAGTGACGCTGCAGGCAGGGCGGTGATGCACAGAGGGCCCCAGTGGTATGCAGGTGTCACCTGGTTGCCTAGAGACACAGATGCAATTGTCACTCTTAGGAGCATCACCAGCCACATACTGACATTTCCACAACATGTAAAGCCGGTTTTAAATCTGCTCTAGCTGGGAGGTAAAACTCAATGGATGAGCATGAGCTGTATCTGCAGGCAGAACCTCTAACTCCGCCCAGCTTTGAGGATGACAGGGTCTCCTTTCCCCAGGCGGAGCACACCTCGTGTGTCCAGGCAGCTGGTACAGTCCAGCAGGCTGCCGTGCACTCACCAGGGAAGGTTGTTCTATTTCCAGCTTCTACCAGCCTGACCCTGCTCTGCCAGACAGTGAGAGGAACGCGAAGGTGGCTTATGAGCCTCACTGGAACCATGAATTACGACCTGTGGCTTTGCAGGCACGCCAATGGTGAGCCCACGCACAGGAGTCTCTGCCCTGTAACCTCACAGTGCTCTGCACACTTTTAGTAGACCGTCAATAAATGTTTGCTGAATCCAACACTCTCATTTTCAGTGTCTTTTTTTTGGGGGGAAGGGGCGGGGTGTGCATTAAAAAGGACTATGTAAAAAAAGAAGGCAACCCTGTCATTTTCAACAATATGGATGAACCTGTTAAACGTTGTGCTAAGTGAAATAAACCAGGCACAGAGAGACAGATACTGCAGGACCTCTAAAATCTAAAAAAGTAGCACTCAGTGATGCAGAGAGAGTAGAACGAGGGTTACCAGGGGCTGGGAGAGACAGGGGTGGGTAAGGGAGGTGCTGGTCAAAGAACACTTGTCGTTAGGCAGGAGGAGTAAGTTTCAGAGATCTATTGTACAACCTGGTGATTAGAGTTAATAATAGTGTATCGTATAATTAAAAATTGCTAAGAGTAGATTTTAAGTGTTTTCACTACAAAACAAGTAAGTATGTAAGGTAATAGACAGGGTAATTAGCTCACTTCAGTCATTCCATAACGCACATATACATACATCAAAGCATGATGCTATATGACATAAATATATATGATTTTTGTCAATTTAAAAAATAATCAATAAAATTTAAGAAATATGGTCTCAGTCATGTGATTTGAAAGACTCATTCTTTTGTAAAACACACATAAAACACAATAGCAAGCACATCGTAATGCCGATAGCCACGGTTTGCTTCCTAATTGCTGCTTTTCACACACATCATTCCTTCACTGTAGTTAGGACTTGGGTCCACAATATAGTGCCTTTTTCCCCATGGGTCACTTTCTCGACCTGTCTACAAATCTCTCTTGCTCAGGTCTTCTGATGACTTGGGTCCTCCCCAAAACACTAACTGCTGCCCCTGGGAGGCTCTTAGTGATCCTTGCTCCCACTCAGATTCCACTTGAGGGGTCTCCAGGAGACACTGAAATAGGTCCTGAGCTAGTTCAGGCTCAGAGGAAGAGAATGACAGAAAAAAGAAGGTACAGAAACCTCACCTCTGCCTCCTTAAGCCTTCCTCCCCCCAGGGCCCCAGGAAAATTGGCTGGGCCTAATATAATGAAAAAAGAATAACTATTTATATGTGTGTGTGTGTGTGTGTGTGTGTGTGTGTATGTGAGCGACATAAATTAAAAATTTATAGAAATATTAGGGAAGAAAAAGTAGTATAGGAGAGAAAAATTTAGCTAAGTAAAGCAGGCAAGTCATAATGGTTTATAATGGTTACAAAAACTACCAGAAACTCTGACATTTAAAAAGGTATAACAATCTGCAGTGAAACATTTGTATGTTGTTTGCTCACTAAATATTTAAGAAATCCCAGATAATATATGAAACTAAGCTTCAAATACACCTAGCACAATGATTTCCAGAAAGCTGCTGTTTTTGAAAAGAACAGCCACTTGTGGTAGGACAATGCTGCTGACCTTTCAAACATGCTGACTATTTTACTTTCAGCAGCTTATTTTAGAACCAGAACTATCAGCCTGAACATTGATAAGAAAAGAAATTCTGTAAGGTTTTAAGAGACAATAAGAAATGACAACAGAAGAAAGGACCAAAAATTGCCATACAACAATGATATCTCCACTCTCTTTAAATAAATGTTCATATTTAATTACGATGACCTAATGCATATTTATAATGAAAAAAAAAAACAAATATATATATGTGTGTGTGTGTGTGTGTGTGTGTGTGTGTGTGTGTGTGTCCACTCCTGTCTTCATCACAACCCTCTGATATCCATTCTTCTATTAATCGTGTAGGTGAAGCCATCATGAAGAGTTTATAATTATTGGCTAACTAGTGAGCAGGGTGAGCTTGGACCAGGGTGTGTTTACATTGCCCATTGTAGCTTTTTTGTTTGTTTTTTGAGAGGTTTTTGCTATAGGGCGCATGCACTCGCCAGACAGACAGAGACATAGAGACAGAAAGCGAAAAATCACCCCCCCCAGGGGGGATGGTCACGCTGCAATCCCTTCTCCTCCATTCTCCTCTTGGGATCCTGGGCACGCACACACACGCGCCTGGCATGAGATTTAAGCCACCGGGTCCAAGACGCGAACTGTGGTCGACTACGTGGGAGTCCAGCGACATAGCCATTACACTAAATGCTGGTTCCCATTGCCCATTGTGTTTTAAGCTAGTGCAGACATTGATACCTGTAGATGCCTATCCTGCCACTAAGCTAGATGATAAAGAAATGTTTGATGTCTCTGCCTCTATTCCTGGATTAGCTACTATTATTTTCTTCCAGTTTGTCTAATTACCTTTCTCTCCACCCATCCATCCACCTATCCTATATTGATTTCACTCTTTGGTTTATACTGGGGCACTGGTTATTAAGGGTTCTCCACGGGATTCTCCCAGAAAGAAAGAGGATGAGAGGAAGCTCACAGGGGCAGTACGAGAACAGCGACACACTATGAGAAGGGACTTTCTCCAGGAAAATATCTATCTGCATGGCTCACTCCCACCAGGGAAGAGGTGCTTAGTAAATCTCCTCCTGGGCACTAGCAGTCACCTCCCACTTCAGATGTCCCCAAGGGATGGTGTCATCTCCAAAGTCACACCTCCCTCCCAAGTGGGCCAGCTGCATCTCTGAGTGACGGCTCTGGGCAAGGTGGCTACCCAACACTAAGCAACTAAAGAAAAGCTTCCTCCTCTTCTCCTGCTCACAGCTGTGCACCAGCATCTTCTGGGGCAAGGAGTGATGTTCTTTTGTACCACTTGCTCTTTCTCCTATGCATGAAGTGCAAGAAAGTGAACCACAGGGACAAGCAGATGGTGTAATGGTTATGCTGCTGGACTCGCATGTAGTTGACTGTGGTTCAAGTCCCAGATCTAGCAGCTTGAAACTCACGCTGAGTGTGTTGTGCATGTGTAACCAAGATCCTGAGAGGAGAATGGAGGAGGGAAGATTGCAGTGTGGCCATCCCCCCCGGGTGTGTGTGTGTGTGTGTGTGTGTGTGTGATTTCTTGCTTTCTGCCTCTCAGTCTCTTCGGCAAGCACACATGCCCTATAGCAAAAAATCTCCTTTAAAAAAAAGAAAGTGAGCCATGATTACAGTTCCTGTAGGCCCCAGCACCATCCTATTGGTCATGATAAGTTTTCCGTGGACCACGGACCAGCTGCAGTCCTACTTCCCTCCTGGTCCGACTGCTGCGACACTGCCCAGAAGCTCCCAGGCCTTGTGTGTCCTGTACCTGTGCAGTTTCCCTTTCCGTCAGTCCAGCCGCACCGTTACTACGTGGCTACGGTTTTAGCTTAAAAGTCTGGTTACGCAGCCATATTCCAGTCAAGATTCTTTATCAGTTAGTCAAAAAATATTTATTAACCATCGACCACACCCCACTCTCAGCTCCAGGGATTCTAGAGATCAGTAAGTAGACACCCTGCCTGGTCTCAAGGACTGACTCCTCCGAGTCCAGTGGAAGAGAAAGGTACAATCCCGCTTCCCAGCAGCACTTGGTGCCATGGGTGCACAGAGAGGGCAGGCCTAATTCTACCTCAGGGATAGAAACCCATCATTTTCCCAGGGGTGTTTAGTCCCTCTTAGAGATAAGATTCTTAACTTAGGGCCCACTCTTTTCTATTTTTTTTTTTAAGTTTTATTTACTTATTTCTTCATGAGCAAAAGAGAGGTGAGAGGGCACCCCCTTCCATTCCCAACAAGGTCTTGATGCCACAATCCACACCCAGCCTCAGCCAGCTCTGGACCATAAGCACATGTGTGCCCAGCATACTTGGGTCTCTGGATGCAAACCCGGAAACTTGCCGTGTGGGTCAGCCGCACACAGCATTGTATTTGACCGTGGCACCACCTGTCTGGCCCTATCGGTCATTTTCTCTTTTTTTAAATTTATGAGAGTGCATGTGCGCATACGTGAAAGTGAGAAAGAGAGGGAGAGACAAGAACCCTTCACAGGGTCTGGTGATGCCACATTCTTCTTCCAGTCCTCCAGGCTGTCAGATCTAGACACTTCGTCCCCATGCCCAGCACAGTTGACCTGGCTAGTGTCTCAAACCATAGCCACCACATGGGATCTGCTTCTCTGAGCAATGTGCCACAGAGCTGTTCCTCAGTCATTGTTTTCTTTCTTTCTTTTTTTTTTTTTTTTTTTTTTTTTTTTTTTTTTTGGAGGGATTTTTGCTATAGGGCGCGTGCACTCACCAGACAGACAGAGACAGAGAGACAGAAAGTGAGAAATCACCCCCCAGAGGGGATGGCCACGCCACAATCCCTTCTCCTCCATTCTCCTCTCGGGATCTTGGGCATGCATGCATACGCGCCAGAGTGAGTTTAAGCCACCGGGTCCGGGACTCGAACCGTGTTCTACTACATGAGAGTCCAGCGACATAGCCATTATGCTAACTGCTGGTCTCAGTTATTGTTTTCTATATAGAAAATATCTAGCTAGGTTCTGTAATTCAGAACTTTCAAAGAGGGACAGAATAATGTGTTGAGTTGGACTAAATGTACACGTAAATTAAGAAGCATTACACTGTAGCACCCATCCGCATTAGAGTAATAAGCAATTGTAGGCTCTGGTTGTGGCTCCCC